ATTTCTTTATATTTGGCTGGAAAATCACAAGTGGCTATCGTTAGAGCACTCCAGCAGTTAAATTTGAATCAATCTTTTATGTCTCATACCATCGCTCGTTACTGTGTAGCGCAGCCCAACGTCAAGGAAATGGACGTAAGAAAACAGCAACATCAGCAGAAATGGTTCGAAAAGTAAAGATGCGACTTGATCGAAGCCCACGTCGCAGTGACCGAAAAATGGCTCGTGAGCTGAACATATCGCAATATTCCATTCGGCAAATATTGAAAAATGATCTCGGAGTAAAGCCATTGAAATTCCAAAAAGTGCAAGAACTTACACCGCAACAAAAAGAAAATAGTCTCAAAAGAGCTAAAGAGATGCTTCGCTTGGCCGAAAGTACATCTTTAACCACAAGGTTAACAACAAGAACTCAAGCGCCAGCCATGGTGATGGTGTGGGCCGCTATAACAGCCAATGGTCGCTCTCCGCTCGTATTAATCTACCGTGGCATCAGAATAAATGCGGAATATTATCGAGAAAATATTCTGGAGGGTGTATTAAAGCAAACATTTTGGCCCCAGACCTTTGACATTCCAACAGAACTCAGCACCATCGCACTCAGCACGCGCCACCCAAGAATGGTTGCCAAATGAGGTTTCTCGCTTCATTTCCAGCGCACAATGGCCACCAAAATCTCCGGACACAATGTCCACTAAAATCTCCGGACTATTGTGTCTAAAGTATTTTGGAAAGCAAGGTTGTCACTAAAAATACCAACGTGTCGGTCACCTCAAGCAAGCGCTTCGCCGGAAATGGGCCAAAATACCGCAGAGCAACATTCGGGCAGCGTGTGACGGTTTCATCGGTGGTTTGAAGGCCATAATTCGTGCCAAAGGTGACCAATTCGAACAACGCTAAACTTATTCTAAAAATGGTTCTATTTTCGATATTTTTAGCTTTCGTTCAATAAAATTAAAAAAAATTTAAAAATTATGGCGTTTGACTGTATAGTAATCATTCGGCATTTTAGAATACCATGTAAGCCTCAGAAATTGTGGGTATAAGTAATGACAACACTCATATGCCTAAAAACCCCCAAATAGTTTAAAATTAAAATAATCATCTTCTGAAGATTATGAGACAAATAAATCCATTAGATTATATTTTCAAGATCTAGAAATAAAGCCTATACCTATGAAACATCTGAAATGCCCCTTCATATAGTAACCATTGATTATTTTAGAATACCCTATAAGCCACATAAAGAAGTGCATTCTTTGGTGGTACAATTGTGCGTATGAGTAGCGACAACACTCATACACCCCAGAAACCAGTCATTTTTAATGAACAACATTTCATTTTTATAAAGAATATTCATTACAAAAACCATTTGGGACCTTAAGAATATATAATTTTAAATCAGTCATTCTGGTGTTTAAATGCAGCCCAGCAATAAATCCCAATTACTGTGCAGAAAAACGGCAAACTCTTTACTGCATTCCATTGAATACCATGCAATATTCCCCATTCAATTGAAAGAGCAACATTTTTCCCAATTTCAACATTAAAGCTCAAACATCATACAAAATACATGCCTTACAGAGAGAGAGAGAGAGAGAGAGAGAAAACATGGTGCCGAACACCCGCATACTGAAGTGCAAATAACATTTGCAAACAAACAAAGAGAGAAGAAACTTTACAAAATTTCCTGAAACAAGCACACATGAGTGTTGCACACACACACCATATGGGTTATAGGATCTGAGGATTGTAAGTCCTGTAAAATATTGCCATTCTTGCAATCGCATACACATTTTATGCTGGCTCTGGCTGCCACACTAGAAATGCAAACTCATGGCCCAACTTCCAACTTGGAATATTATGAATAGCAAATTATCGACAAATACCACAGAGCAAATGTGCATCAATCGAATCGATGAATGTCCTTGCAAGGACTAGGCGAAGTGTCGGAGAATGCACAAATGCCTTAGAATATTAAAGGAGAATATAAATCACAGTTTTGTGTCAATCTAAGATATGGGATGGGATTTAAAGAAGGCAGATAGATATGTTTGTAATGTTATCGCTTTGAATTATTCCATGCATTTTAAGAAGAGAATCAATCGAATTGAGATGTCGGCATAAGGATGAGCTTGTTAGATAAAACTATATTACAGATACTGAGAAGGCCTTCAATATGGAATTTAATATAAGACCACAAAGGTTCTATTGTCTTATAAGAGATCACTGCAAGGTGTTTTTATAATGGAACACCAAAAAGCATAAAACTAGAGACTTCAAAAATGAAAGCCTTATAATCTCTTAAGGTCTTCCTCTTTAAATTCGTCTATAAGGTAATTAGCTCTTCTTTTATGAAAAAAGAAACCAGATGGCCTTCTTTAAAGGAAATCTAAAAACAGGTCTTCCTAAATATTAGGAAATAAAATATTTAGGAATAAAAAAATCTCTTCAAAGGAGGAAGACCTCCTCACGAAGTCTTTTTGAACGAAAATGTCGCCTTAAATGGAAGGCTCAAAAAGGCAACGAAGAAAATGTTTTCATTAATTGAAGAAGAAAAATACCTTAGAAGTGAGATTCAAAAATTATATCCCTTGCTAAAATAACTCTAAAGAAATTTTCTTCAATAATAGAACTCAAAAGAAATCTCTCTCAGTGAAAAAAACCTAATCCTCTCTCTTAAAAAGGAGATATTTTTTAGAAGAAGACCTTAGAAGAAGAAGACCTTGGGTGTTACCAAAAATAATCCTGGAAGGCAATTCTGACTACGTTGTTGTCTAAACAAATCGTCAGTGGTAGAAAACGGCAGAGAAACCAATAGTAGAAAACCTCAAAAAACCTTATTCAATAGAAGATATTTTAAAAAACCTCCCCCAATATGAAACCCAAATAAGGCCTTTCTTGCAAAGATACCTTCAAAAAGAAGTCCTTTTGGAGTCTTCGCCAAAAGAAGAATTCAAAATCGGTTTTCATAAATTGAAGATCTCTAAAATAACAAAACTTAAGTGAAGTCTCTTCTTAAGTCTCAGGAACTCAAAAAATGTACCTCTTCAATAGAATGTTCTCTCTCTCTCAAAGAAGACCTCTTTGAAAGAGAATCTTCCAAGAGGTTACAAGAGAAGACCACATAAAGAAAATTCCATTTAAAATTCCATCATTTATTCTTCAATGGAAGCCTCCTAAAAAATATATTCTACTTCCTAAAAAAACAAGCCTCAAGAGATCTTTTCCTTTCCTAAAAGAAAAGGCATCAGAGAAGTTCTCTTCTTCTCATTAGAATACCTCATCGGTATCTTCACAAGAAAACGTTAAAGGCGGATCTTCTTCACAAGAAGACTACAGAGGATGGCTTATTCACCCGAAGATCTCAAGAAAGGCGTCCGATAATATATCTTCTACTTAAATTTAAAAGAGATCTCTTCGGATGCCCAAATCGCATTTTATGATTGCTTTGGTTGTTCGAAATTCTGACTCTTTCTGACACAAAAAAATCTTTTGTTGATAGAAATATTGAGGTGTGACGAGTTTAAACGTTTCGCGTTTTACGAGCTTCATGGCTTCATTCGAAATTTTGACCCATTGTGGGGGATGTACCAGAAGGAGTGGACCGATATGTCCCACCTCCACACCAGATCTTGTATTAGTAATAATATTGGATTAGGTGAAATTTGAAGACAATCGTACATTTATTTCTTATTTTGTAAGAGTTATAATTATTCCAAATTATGGGCAGGTACTTGATGTTGTCTACTTTCACACCTGACTTAGCACTAACAAAAATATTGGGATTTCAATTAGGAAAATTACTTTCTTTCAAATATTGACCTTTTTTTGAGGAAGATAAAAGTGCCAGTGTGAGTGGACCGATGTTGCCCATATCCAATCTCAATCTATATTTGACAATAATATTACTATGTATCAAGTTTGGAGCAAATCGGATATTCCCCTCGTGAGGTATCGTGCGAACCAGCCAGCCACACGGACGACACCTCTAGATCGACTTCAAATGTCCTGAATTAGGTTTGTTCCGAAGAGACCTAGAATCTAAAATCGGCATTTTTGGATGAAGCACATTTTGGTCGTATCAAATTATGTTGCCATCAAAAAGATGTACTTAAATGGAAGACCTTGCCGAGTATTTGTCAAAGGAAGACTTTAGAAACGGTCTTCATAAAATGTAGGCCTCTACTATATCAGAACTAAAACGAAGTCTCTTCTTAAGTCTGAGGAACTCAGAGGCTTTGGAGACATATTATTAAAGAGACAAATAAAATGTCTCCAAAGCACTCCCTATCTGTCCCTCTTTCTCTCCCTCTCTTTCTTTGCAAAAAAGAGAGATATAGAGGTTTCATTTTCGACAGAGAATCTCCAAAAAGGTGTAATCTATCTATAAAATTAAAGAGGTGAACTTCAATAGGAAGCCATATACAAGTCTTCTCCTTTATAAGGCTCCAAGAAATGAAGATAATAGACAATAGACTACTAAGAGGTATTTTTCGTTAAAAAACTTCAGGAGAATTCTTCTCTAGACAAGCTTCTCATAAATGAGAGACACATTTTCAACAAACGACTTCAGGTCTTTAACAACATATGTTACCTGAATTTAGCTTCTTCAATAGGGTACCTCGAAAAGACCTCAGAAACTCAGCAACGTTTTATTTAGGAATAACGATATCAGAGAACTCTTTCCATGAGGGAACACTAAAGATATATTCTTCAAGAGAAGGTTTTTTTGATACTCCTTAATAGAAAATTTCAAAGGGGTTCTCTTCATTAGAACACTTGATAGCTGTTCTAACAAAAATATATATGAGTCAGAGTGTGGAGTACAACAGTCCATTCAACCAGCTAAAATTTCTAAAAAAAATATATTAAATGTTAGCCTTTACAGTATTACCTCGCCCTATATGACCTCTATATCCTACAAAAATATTGAATTTTTTGTCAAAAACATGAGCTTTTATTTTATTTCCAATTTAATTTCTTCTCTTTTTTTCTAGAAAATGCCACCCGCTTTTGCCATGCCAATGGAACCTGGGATCAGTACACGAACTACGATGCCTGCATGCATATAACGGAACCTGCCACTGTCTCAGAATTCGAACCGATAATCGAGTTGCCAACAATAATCTACTATGTTGGCTATACCATATCGCTGGTATCGCTGACCTTGGCCCTTATGGTTTTTGCCTATTTCAAGTAAGAACCAGTTCCCCTTTCAATATTTAGTTTCAAAACTTGATGCAAAAGCACGTATTACGCTCTTCGTACCCACGCACAATGAGCCAACTTATTTTTAAGAATTTTGTAATTTGTTAATTTCACAAATTTTCAAAACTAAAGGGTTAAGAAAGGCCGAAAAAAAAACAACAAAACAAAAGAAACAAACAACTGGAAATAATGCAAAAATAATGAATGAATGGAGAAAGGAAGGGAACGGAACAAAGGAAAGCTTTTATGTTGATGAGGCCATTGCCTGTGGTTGGGCCTTTTTTAGAGTGCGTGCGTGCTTACCTCTTTCATGGGAGTGTATGACAACGTCTTGTGGTTATTTCATGTTTGCACAAGCACACACACACACAAGTACTCATATCTACACAGTTATATAAAATGTAGGGGAGAACATATTCCTGTACCGACAAAGTAATTACCACCTAATAAAGTGAAATTATTTTTAGACGTGACAACAAATGTTCGTTGTCGAGCGTTTAGCGTTTAGTTCAAAAGGTGGGTGGAGGAAGGAGGAGAGAGGGAAAATGTTACGCTGCAGCATTTCCCAGCACTATTACACACATATGTGTTCATTTTGTTTGGGTGCCTCTAATAAGTTTGCCATTTTGATATAAATGAGAAAATTTAATATCGTTTTGAAAAAAAAAAAAATAAATAAATAAATGAATAAATTAAAAAAAAAACTGCAAAAAAGTCAAACGCCATAATTTTTACATTTTTTTTAATTTTATTGAATGAAAGGAAAAAATGTCGGAAATAGCATCAAATTTTAGAATAAGTTTAGATTTGTTCGAATTGGTCACCTTTAGCAGGAAATATGGCCTTCAAACGGCCAATGAAATCGTCACACGCTGTCCGAATGTTTCTCTGCGGTATTTTGGCCCATTCCCGGCGAAGCGCTTGCTTGAGGTGATCGACACTTTGGTATTTTTTAGTGCCAAACTTGCTTTCCAAAATACTCCAGACACAATGGTCCAACGAATTGGAATCCAGAGATTTTGGTGGCCATTGTGCGCTGGAAAAGAATCGAGGAACCTCATTTTGTAACCATTCTTGGGTGGCGCATACTGAATGCGATGGTGCTGAGTCCGGTTGGAACGGAACGACAAGTACCAAAAGGAACTAAATATGGTACCCTTTGTTTTTTGACGAATCAGTGCAGCTAGAATTCTTAAATTTGAAATGGGGATCACTGATGGAGTGTATGATGGATGAACCACAGGGTTTTTTTAAATTCGCAATGTAAAAGTACGAAAAGTACTAAAATGTACCACATTTTGTACAATTTCATATCGTGTGAAGGGTTAGAGCTAAAAACTTGAAATTTTGAAGGGGAATCTAGGTCGAGGAGTAGAGTCCATGTAAGGAAGTACAGGGTGAGATAAAAAAGTGCAACAAAGTCAAACACCACAATTTTTACATTGTTTTTAAAATTTTATTGAATGAAAGCAAAAAATGTCGGAAATAGCATCCAATTTTAGTTAAGTTAAGATTTGTTCGAATTGGTCACCTTTGGCGCGAATTATGACCTTCAAACGGCCAATGAAACCGTCACACGCTGCTCGAATGTTGCTCTGCTGTATTTTGGCACATTTCCGGCGAAGCGTTTGCTTGATGTGATCGATACTTTGGTATTTTTTAGTGCCAAACTTGCTTTCCAAAATACTCCAGACACAATGGTCCAACGAATTGGAATCCAGAGATTTTGGTGGCCATTGTGCGCTGGAAATGAAGTGAGGAACCTCATTTTGTAACCATTCTTGGGTGGCGCGGGCTGAGTGCGATGGTGCTGAGTTCTGTTGGAATGTCCAAGGTCAGCGGTCAAAATGTTTGCGTGACCAAGGCTTTAATACACCCTCCAGAATAATTTCGTGATAATATTCGGCATTTATTCGATTAACACGTGCGGAGAGCGAGCATCCAGAATATTTTCTCGACAATATTCCGCATTTATTCTAATGCCACGGTCGATTAATACGAGCGAAAAACAACCATCGGCTGTTGTGGCGGCCTACATCATCACCATGGCCGGCGCTTGAGTTCTGGTGCCCAACCGAAGGTGAACATTTTCAGCGGGCCTCTTTGACAAGTAAACATAATCATTTTGTTTGTTTACAAACTGCTGGACAACGAATGTTTTCTCATCGGAGAAAACCAAATTCAGCACTTCAGGAATTTCAATGGCTTTACCCCGAGCTCATTTTTCAATATTTGCCGAATGGAATATTACGATATGTTCAGCTCACGAGTCATTTTTCGGCCACTGCGACGCGGGATTCGATCAAGTCGCTCCTTTACTTTTCGAACCATTTCTGCTGATGTTGCTGTTTTCTCCCGTCCACGTCCTTGACGTCGGGCTATGCTACCAGTATCACGGTAACGAGTGGTGGTACGAGACACAAATGATTTATTCACATTTAAATGCTGGAATGTTCTAACGATAACCACTTGTGGCTTTCCAGCCAAATATAAAGAAATCACACTATCACGCTTGAATTCCATCACGAATATCTTTTTTTTTTTGGAAAATTCTCACCAAAATGCTTTAGTACGCTTGTAAACAATATAATGAGCTGTCACTGGAATAATTTTAACAGCTGTCGGACGAGTGGCTTAGAAATGACAGCAGTCTGAAGTTGATTGCAGTTTTTTCATCTTACCCTGTAGATAATCTGAAGACATGTATGAAATTTCTGATATTTGCAACGTAAAATTGGAAAGCCATAAATACTATTTGAATTTTTGATTATGCCAAATCCGTTTCAGGGCATTCGGAGTCGATCTAGTGATGTCTGTCTGTCCGTCTGGTTGGTGCGCGAGATAACTATCGAAGGGAGTATCCGATTTGGTCCAAACGCGGTACATCGTAATATTATTATCATACTTAAATCGATTTCGGATATGGTCAATATCGGTCCACTCCTTCTGGCACCTCCCCCACAAAAGGAAGAAATTTTCCAAGAAGAGAGAGGATAGTTCGATTTTGCTCCAACTTTGCAAATCCTAATATTTGTATCAGTGCTAGGCCATGTGCGAACAATATCGCTCCACTCCATCAAGTACCTCCTCCACAAATGGTTAAAATTTTGAATAAGTATAACTCTTATAAAATGTGATGTAAGTGTCCGATTGTCTTTAAATTACACACATCATAATTTTCTATTAACCCAAGATCTGGTGTGAAGATGGAATGTATCGGTTCAATCTTTCTGGTACCTCTCCCACAATGGGCCAAGTTTTTGGTGTATAAATTACGATAAGAATAACACGTGGTAATGTACCCATTATTTTAGCTTTTCCGCTGGACTGTGTAAGCTGTCTTCTCTATGACGAGTAATTTATTAATTTAGTTTTAAATTTTTGCCCTCTATTTTCTTTACTGTTATATTAATATTTCTTTTATTTTCAAGTACCCATTAACAACTCATAATTTCATCTTGGAGTCATTAACTCCGTTAGTCACTTGACTTGACAAGTTAATTCTAAAACGACTCCTTTGTTGAACTACAAACACTTTTCCACACTTCTTTCTTTCATGTGTGCCTTTCCACTCTCATATCAGGCCACATTCTCACACACTCTCACTCTCACCCACCTACATCAATTATTTCTCTTATTAAAATTTCACTGGGGACGTATGAGTAATTAATTAAGCATGCTTAAGCAAGTTATTGTTTATATGTTTCACAATGTGTTTCTTTTTGTTTCACTGCTCTTCCGTCAACACTCCTACGGATGGGGAAGAGCATTTTTTTCAACAACTTCACATACTTTGTAGCCAACACGAAAGTTTATCTGTGTGGGTGTGAGAGTGAGTGTGTGTGAACAAGGGTGAAGATGAATTGTTGCCGCATTGTTAATCTTGCAACACGTCTTACCTCACATCAGGCTGGTATTATAACACTTCATCTGTCACAAAGAGAGAACGAAACAACAAAACTGACAACTCAAAGCATTGCTGGGAAGAAAAAAAAACAGAATCATATATTTTTATTAGTGTACATGTGTGTGTGTGAGAGTGTGTCTTTGGATAATCCAGTTAGACGAGAAGTATCACTTGACGTAATTTTTCATTTAAGAAAATTCCTTATAAACTTCTTCAGACCGGAGGAGCGGAGTGATGAGTGTTAAATGTAGGTGGGGAAAGATGGGCTTTAAAAATTGCAGCAAATTGAAGACAGAATATGGAAGGATGCTACGGTGAGTGCGGTTGACAGGATAATAACTTGGATCGCTCATGGTAGTGGGTAGCCTGCTAATCAAAACCTAATCACAAAGAGGATGAGCTGTAGGCCGTCTTTTTAGAGGAGTAGCAAGGAACCATTATATGGAGTTTTACGGCGTCTTTATGGTAGTATTTTTGGAGGGCTTCGACATAGACGAATTCGAAGGCTTATTTTACATGAGTTTTAGGGCTTATTTTTAAACGAAGTGTCGGGTGTGTATATAGACCAGCTGTGGATATGGTCTTTATAGACGAGGTCTAGGCGTTTTCTTTATATGCACATGCTCCCCAGAGTGTTTTTATAAAGATAAGGAGTTTTGTTGAGGGACACTCTATAGGCGGGTTCGGGAAAAGGTTACCTTAGACGAGTTCTTTAGTGTGGGTACTCTAGTAGACGATCTCTAGATATCTGGTAGATGATATATGGTGAGGTTCTTTTATATACAAGCTAAGGGTCTTGGAGACAATCCTTTATGGACAAGATCTGAATGCAGTCTGGAAAAACTATCCTTAAAAGACCCCTAGAAACAATATTTTATATGTGAGCTATGATATCTCTGGAGGAAGATTTCTCAAAGCTCAATCATTATAGAATGGTCTATTCATAGTCGAGCTCTGGAGGCTGTCTTTTCATAGACGGGTTCTGGAGGCCGTATTTTCATAGTCGAGCTCTGGAGGTCGTTTTTTTAGACGAGCTCTGGAGGTCGTTTTTTTAGACGAGCTCTGGAGGTTGTCTTTATTTATACGAGCTCTGGAGGTCGTCTTTATACAGACGAGCTTTGGAGGTCATCTTTTTATAGATGAGCTTTGGAGGTCATCGTTTTTAAAGACGACTTCTGGAGGTCGTCTTTATAGACGATCTTGGGAGATCGTTTGTTCATAGACGAGCTCTGGAGGTCGTCTTTTCATACACGAGCTCTGGAGGTCGTGTTTTTAGAGACAAGCTCTTGAGGTCGTGTTTTTAGAGACAAGCTTTTGAGGTCGTCTTTTTATAGACGTGCTCGGGAGGTCGTCTTTTTATAGACGAGTTTTGGAGGTCGTCTTTATAGACGAGTTCTGGAGGTCGTCTTTATAGACGAGTTCTGGAGGTCGTCTTTTTATAGACGAGCTATGGAGGTTGTCTTTATAGACAAGTTCTGGAGGTCGTGTTTATAGACGAGTTCTGGAGGTCGTCTTTATAGACGAGTTCTGGAGGTCGTCTTTTTATAGACGAGCTATGGAGGTTGTCTTGTTATAGACGAGCTCTGGAGGTCGTCTTTTCATAGACTAGCTCTGGAGGTCGTATTTTTATAGACGAGCTCTGGAGGCCTCTTTTTTATATACGAGCTTTGGAGGTCGTCTTTTTTATAGACGAGCTCTGGAGGTCGTCTTTTTATAGACGAGCTCTGGAGGTCGTCTTTTTATAGACGAGATCTGGAGGTCGTCTTTTTATAGACGAGCTCTGGAGGTCGTCTTTTTTTAGACGAGCTCTGGAGGTCGTATTTTTATAGACGAGCTCCGGAGGTCGTATTTTTATAGACGAGCTCTGGAGGTCGTCTTTTTATAGACGAGTTCTGGAGGTCGTCTTTTTATAGACGAGTTCTGGAGGTCGTCTTTATGGACGAGTTCTGGAGGTCGACTTTATAAACGAATTCTGGAGGTCGTCTTTATAGACAAGTTCTGGAGGTCGTCTTTTCATAGACAAGTTCTGGAGGTCGTCTTTTCATAGACGAGCTCTGGAGGTCGTCTTTTCATAGACGAGCTCCGGAGGTCGTCTTTTCATAGACGAGCTCTGGAGGTCGTCTTTTCATAGACGAGCTCTGGAGGTCGTCTTTTCATAGACGAGCTCTGGAGGTCGTCTTTTCATAGACGAGCTCTGGAGGTCGTCTTTTCATAGACGAGCTCTGGAGGTCGTCTTTTCATAGACGAGCTCAGGAACTGGTGTTTTTATCGACGAGTTCTGGAGGTCGTCTTTATAGACGAGTCCTGAAGGTCGTCTTTATAGACGAAACAAATTCTACAGGTCGTCTTTATAGACGAAACAAATTCTACAGGTCGTCTTATAGACGAGTTCTAGAGGTCGTATTTTCTTTCAGATGAGCTGAGGCTGTTTCTTTATAGATGAGCTGAAGATCAGGGAGACTGCTGAATAGACGTGCTAAAGGTCAGGGGGTCTTTATAGACAAGATGAAGTCAGGGAGTCTTTTTATAGACGAGGTGGAGGTCACCTTTTTATAAACGAGGTGGAGGTCGAGCTGACGGTCAGCTCGTCTTTATAGACGAACTTAAAGGCCGGGTTTCATTTTAGACGAGCTGAGGACAGGGAGTCGACGAGATGAAGGGAAGGGAAGGGTCGTTTTAGACGAGCAAAATGACAGAGAGTCTTTTTAGACATGTTGGAGGGTAGGAAGTCGTTTTAGACGAGCTGAAGGCAGGGAGACATTTTTTGTTTAATTTTTAGACGAGCTGAAGAACAGATAGTTTTTTAGACGAGCTAAAGGACAGTTTGCATTTTTAGACGAGCTAAAGGACAGTTAGCGTTTTTTGACGACCCGGACAGTTAATATGTTTAGACGAGCTTAGGCAGCCAACGTTTCGATAAACTAAGAAGAATTCCAAATCATGACACATTATATGACGAATCAAGAACTCTCCTCTGCCAGAAAAAATACTCCCCCAAAACTGTACGGTACGTGATGAAAGCATCACATCCCAAAATTAAAATAAATTAGATTTGCTTTGTTGAAGAATTCCACTCGAATTAAATTCAAGTGATTTCAGGAAACGAAAAATGAATTTAATTTAACTTCTTTCATCTCCCTAATATCTCATTTTCATGCTAATTAAGTGAGGGCGAACGTGAGTATGAGCGCGTGATGGTGTTGGTGTCGGCGTATTACGTGCCCGTGTCATGCTATAATTAATTCTCTTATCAAATACTAATTTACCATTCATTTGTTTTTTCTTTCTTTGCTAACATTTTCTCCGGATCCATCCACACACGCGCGAATTAAAATGTGAAAACAATGATTTGTAAACCAAATAATAAAATAACAACAACAACAAAAACAAATACTTGTTATTTTGAAATAACAAAACACACGAATTTAACCCATGGCTTTAATAACAACATCAACAATTCTGGACAAAACAAAAACAACAAATTCACATGACTGAAATGCTCCTCGGAAAAAAACAACACCACCAACAACGATATTGTCTTGTTCTTCTTCAACTACAACCACACAATTGCTCATCTGAATGGCACTTGGAACCACCAACGACTATGACGATGACGACTACAACTACCACGAATACATATCCTGCTGGCTGCCGGCTATGTCGTTTGATACTGTCCTACTTCGGACGACTCCTCCGTGTGTGTCACTTGATTCTCGGCTGATGCTCTGCCACCAACTCCATGTTCATGTATCCCCGTGTGTACACGTGTGTGTGTGGGTGTTCAAATTTGCACTGTTGGCATTTCTTTGTTGTTATTGCTGCTGTCGCCGCTGTTCCGTTGTTACCTCCAGGGAACTGCGTTGCTTGCGCAACTCCATCCATGCGAATTTATTCTTCACCTACATCATGTCTGGTCTACTCTGGATACTTACACTCTCTGTACAGGTGAGTAAATATATATTTAATATGTTTGCATAAATGTATATGTGGGCAAGAGTGGCTGCACAGTGGTTAAGTGCAAAAAAAATAATGAGTAATTGAGAATAACATATTTGAGTATAGGAAGTAAAAAGAAGATGGAGAAAAAGCAGGGGAATAGGAAGTTATAAGGAGCTAAAAATATTTGTAAGAGAGTTCAGAGAGAAAAAGCCTAATTAGGCATTCTAAAGAAAGCTAACCGTATTGAGCTGTAGAAGAGCCGAAGAGAGTCCTTAAAGCCTCTATAGAGGGGGTCTGGATGGAGTATTTATAGACGAGCTGTGAGGGGAAGATAGCTGAAGTGCAAGGAGTCTTTATAGACGAGCTGAAGGTCAGGGAGTCCCCATAGATGAGCTGAAGGTCAGGGAGACCTCATAGACGGGCTGAAGGTAAGAGAGTCTTTATAGACGAGGTGAAGTGCAGGGAGTCTCTATAGGCGAGGTGAAGTGCAGAGAGTCCTTATAGACTAGCTGAAGTTAAGAGAGTCTCCATAGATGAACTGAAGTGCGGACAGTCTATATGGACGAGCTACAGTGCAGGATGTCTTTATAGACAAGGGAGTCTCCATAGACAAACTGAAGTTCAGGGACTCTCTATAGACGTGCAGAAGTTCAGTGCTGAAATTCAGGAAGTCTTTATAGACGAACTGAAGGTCAGTGGGTTTTCATAGACGAACTGAAGGTCAGGGGGTTTTCGTAGACGAACTGAAAGTCAGGGAGTCTTTATAGACGAGCTGACGGTCAGGGGGTTTTCGTAGACGAACTGAAGGTCAGGGAGTCTTTATAGACGAGCTGACGGTCAGGGAGTCTTTATAGACGAGCTGACGGTCAGGGAGTCTTTATAGACGAGCTGACGGTCAGGGAGTCTTTATAGACGAGCTGACGGTCAGGGTGTCTTTATAGACGAGCTGACGGTCAGGGAGTCTTTATAGACGAGCTGACGGTCAGGGAGTTTTTATAGACGAGCTGACGGTCAGGGAGTCTTTATAGACGAGCTGACGGTCAGGGAGTCTTTATAGAAGAGCTGACGGTCAGGGAGTCTTTATAGACGAGCTGACGGTCAGGGAGTCTTTATAGACGAGCTGACGGTCAGGGAGTCTTTATAGACGAGCTGACGGTCAGGGAGTCTTTATAGACGAGCTGACGGTCAGGGAGTCTTTATAGACGAGCTGACGGTCAGGGAGTCTTTATAGACGAGCTGACGGTCAGGGAGTCTTTATAGACGAGCTGACGGTCAGGGAGTCTTTATAGACGAGCTGACGGTCAGGGAGTCTTTATAGACGAGCTGACGGTCAGGGAGTCTTTATAGACGAGCTGACGGTCAGGGAGTCTTTATAGACGAGCTGACGGTCAGGGAGTCTTTATAGACGAGCTGACGGTCAGGGAGTCTTTATAGACGAGCTGACGGTCAGGGAGTCTTTATAGACGAGCTGACGGTCAGGGAGTCTTTATAGACGAGCTGACGGTCAGGGAGTCTTTATAGACGAGCTGACGGTCAGGGAGTCTTTATAGACGAGCTGACGGTCAGGGAGTCTTTATAGACGAGCTGACGGTCAGGGAGTCTTTATAGACGAGCTGACGGTCAGGGAGTCTTTGTAGACGAGCTGACGGTCAGGGAGTCTTTATAGACGAGCTGACGGTCAGGGAGTCTTTATAGACGAGCTGACGGTCAGGGAGTCTTTGTAGACGAGCTGACGGTCAGGGAGTCTTTATAGACGAGCTGACGGTCAGGGAGTCTTTATAGACGAGCTGACGGTCAGGGAGTCTTTATAGACGAGCTGACGGTCAGGGAGTCTTTATAGACGAGCTGACGGTCAGGGAGTCTTTATAGACGAGCTGACGGTCAGGGAGTCTTTATAGACGAGCTGAATGTCAGGGAGTCTTTGAGTCTTTATAGACGAGCTGAAGGTCAGGAAGTCTTCATAGACGAGCTGAAGTTCAGGAAGTCTTCATAGACGAGCTCTGGAGGTCGTCTTCATAGTCGACCGCTGAAGGGAGTCTTTAAAGACGAGCTATTAAGGTCGTCTTCATAGACGAGCTGTGGAGGTCGTTTTCATTGACGAGCTTTGGAGGTCGTTTTCATTGACGACCTTTGGAGGTCGTCTTCATTGACGAGCTCTGGAGGTCAACTTCGTAGACGAGCTTTGGAGATCGTCTTCGTAGACGAGCTTTGGAGGTCGTCTTCGTAGACGAGCTTTGGAGGTCGTCTTTATAGACGTGTTGTGGAGATCGTCTTCACAGACGAGCTTTGAGATCGTCTTCATAGGCGAGCTCTGGAGGTCCCCTTCATAAAAGAGCTTTGTGGTGGCCATCATAGACGTGCTCTGAAGGTCCCCATTCAAGATGTCTTCTTTGAAAAAAAAAATCGTCTGTGGACCTTAGATATTTGACCGGAGAGAGCAAGAAAAGTAAGTTTTCTATAAAACTCCTCGATTGATAGAAGTGCGAGGAATATTATTCCTCTGATAGAAGATATGCATCTATAGATGGAAGACCTCCAAGAAGTCCTTGTACAGCACTTCTGGAAACCCTTTCACAGGACTTCAATAAACTGAAGACTTTCAAGAGGTCTTCAGCAGGTTATTAGGGATTGAAAAGCTTCAACATATTTTGTGGTTAGTGAACGCCTTCACAGATCGTTTTCGGAGAGAAGGCCTTAAACTAGTCTTCTTAAAATTAAGAATCTCTCAATGGCCCTCTATAGATTGAAAACCTTCAATAAACACCTTCAAGGAAGTCTTCAGATTTCCTTTAATTTGAAGACTTTCGCCGCGTTTTTTTAGATGGAATACCTTCAATGGGTTTCCTAAAATAAAATCTTAACACATCCTTCGATCTTCATCAGGCCCTCTTCTTTGGATATATGACCTTCAACTGGTCTCTTACAGAAAAATATCCCTTCAGCTGGACTTATATGTAGTCGAATACTGCCAATTTAATTTTTCCCGATTTGATCCCACAGTTCATGTAAACAAGTTGATGTCACTTCCCTAGATGTGTGCGTACGTATGTGCATGAGGAAGTGAATCTTATATTTTATGTTTTTGTTGTTGGCAGCATATTTTTTTTAATTCATGCAAAGAAACACATACTCGGCTGTTACATAGCCGAGAGGACAAGGAAATACGCACAATGCCTGTCACTTGAATAGGCTAACAAGGAATTATTCAAGTGAGGAGTTACAAGGACGTTAGGGTGGATTGAAGCAGTATTTTCATTGTATCTGGAATATAGATATACAGGTTGAGATAAAAAAAAAAACTGCAAAGAAGTCAAATGCCATAATTTTTACATTTTTTTTATTAATTTTATTGAATTGAAGCAAAAAATATCGGAAATAGCATCAAATTTTAGAATAAGGTTACATTTATTCGAATTGGTCACACTTGGCACGAGTTATGGCCTTCAAACGGCCAACGGATTGGAATTTGGAGTTTCTGGTAGCCATTATGCGCTGGAAATAAGGCGAGGAACCTCATTTTGTAAACATTCTTGGGTGGCGCGTGCTGAGTGCGATGGTGCGTGTCCTGTTGGAATGTCCAAGGTCTGCGGCCAAAATGTTTGCGTGCCCAAGGCTTTAATACACCCTCCAGAATATTTTCGCAATAATATTCGGCATTTTTTCTGATGCCACGGTCGATTGGTACGAACGGAGAGCGACCATCGCCTGTTTTGGCGGCCCACGCCATCACCATGGCCGAAGCTTGAGTTCTGGTGGCCAACCGAAGGTGCACATTTTCAGCTGACCTCTTTGGCAAATAAACACGAACATTTTGTTTGTTTACAAACTGCTGGATAACGAATGTTTTCTCATCGGAGAAAGCCAATTTCGGCAGTTCGACACTTTCGGCCAAGCGTAGCAACTCTTTAGCTCTTTTGAGTCTATTTTCTTTCAGTTGCAGTGTAAGTTCTTGCACTTTTTGGAATTTCAATGGCTTCATCCCGAGCTCATTTTTCAATATTTGCCGAATGGAATATTGTGATGTGTTCAGCTCACGAGCCATTTTCGGCCACTGCGACGCGAGTTTTGATCAATTTGCTTCTTTACTTTTCGAACCATTTCTGCTGATGTTGATGATTTTTCCGTCCACTTCCTTGACGTCAAGCTTCCAGTATCACGGTAACGAGAGATAGAACGAGACACAAAAGATTTATTCACATTTAAATGCTGAAGTACTCCTTAACGATAGCCACTTGCGGTTTTCCGGCCAAATATAAAGAAATCACACTATCACACCTGAATTCTATCACGAATAACTTTTTTTCTGGAAAATTTTCAACAAAATGCTTTTGTATGCTTGTTAACAATATAATGAGCTGTCACTGGAATAAGTTTAACAGCTGTCGGACGGGTGGCTTAGAAATGACAGCCGTCTGAAATTGGTTGCCGTTTTTTCATCTCACGCTGTAAATACTCACTTCTAAATGTGTATCTAGAGTTTGTGGATAGAACGATTAGAGTTTTAAATAAAAGATGAGGATATTGAGATAACCTTTTCCTGAAATTCGAAAATATTCTTAAACCAGTAAAGAAAGTCTTAAGGTTGGGTGGGACCGATTTTATGATACCCTACATCACTTTGCTAATTTAATGGAGCTCCGCATAACAATTAAATTTTTTTGTGGGAGAATTCAATCATTATAATTTAAAGGACAAAGGACTTTTAAATTCGGACTTATATTGCCCATTTGGTGCACAATTAATTTGAAATCGGATAAATTTATATATAGGAGCTATATCCAAATCGGAACCGATCTCCATAAAATTTTGCAAAGATATTTCTGAGCTGTATTTCATATATTTCTCTGAATATCGTTGTTACGGAGTGCATATTACGGCTGTGGGTAAGAAATATAATAAATCGGATGAAAAATATATATATGGGAGATATAGCCATATCTGAACCGATCTTCACCAAGTTTGACATACTAGCTTCTAGCTCAATTCGGTCGTAAGTGCCAAATTTCATCCCATTTGGACAAATATTAGGCGTTTGGTGCACAATAAAATGTAAATCGGTCGAAGATATATATGGGAGCTATATCCAAATCTGAACCGATCTCGATAAAATTTAGCAAATGTTTTTCTAAGCTGTATTTGATATATTTTTGCCCAAATATTGTTGTTACAGAGTGCATATTACGGCTGCGGAGGACTAAAATAACAAATCGGATGAACAATATATATGGGAGCTATAGCTATATCTGAGCCGATTTGATCAAATTTGGCATACTTATTTTCAGACCTAATTTGGTTTTATGTGCAAAATTCCATACTATTCGGACTGATATTACACGTTTGGTGCACACAAAAAAGCAAATCGAACGTAGATATATATGGGAGCTATATCTAAATTTTTACCGATTATCTCCAATTTCAATACGGTTCGTCCTTGGGCCAAACAAATGATTTGTGCAAAATTTCATCTGGATCGGGTAATAAATGCGATCTGTACTTTGTTCACAAAAATACATGGACGGACGGACAGGCGGACGGACATGCATAAATCGACTCAGAATGTGATTCTATGCAGATCATCAAAAGGAACTATGTGTCTATCTCGTTTTCTTTTGCCTGTTACAAAAAAATGCACAAAGACATAATACCCTGACCACCAGGGGTATAAGAAAAGGGAATTTGCTGTCTTCAGAAATCAAAAAATTTAAAATAGAAAAATATAATTGGAATTTTGGTTAATAGCCTCATTGTAATTCAAAATTCAGGAGAATTTTTAAGTTAACTCCAAAATTTTGTGACCTAAAGCGCCGAACACTAAATTCTTAATATTTTTTCTTCACTCCACCCTAATACATTTACATATATATGCTCATAAACAATTTGTTTTGCTCTAATTTAAAAAAATATATGAATATGTAAGCAAATCTCTCTGGCTGTCTCTTTGTCTACCTTATGTTTACTTCTTGTAAAGAAATTTGTTTATTAAATTTTTGCATTGCAATCGTTATTGTCATCATCAGCATCATCATCATCATCTTCATCATCGTTATCATTATTTTCATACTCCAATCCCCCCATTACCGTGGAGCTCAAATAAGTCGTTGTTGTTTTTTTTTTCGCTCTCTCTTTCTCTCTCTCCCCCCACAGATTTCCCTGCATACCGGCATGTCAGGCTGTATTGTCCTGGTGACATTATTTCATTTCTTTACGCTGACAAATTTCTTCTGGATGTTGGTGGAAGGTAAGTAGCGAGGGGATTGCTGGTGGTGGTGGTGACGACGGGGATTTGTTACCGCACCGTAAAATATGACTTTAAACTGGCGGGGGCTTATTACGAATGAATTATTATGTTAAGTAAGTTGGCATGTTGTAACACTTTAATCGTGCGATTGATGATTAGATGATTTGTTGTAGTATTTAATGGATATTTACTAGAATCCTTATCCTTTTTTGAAAACAAGAAAAAATAAAGAAAGCAAAGTGGTTAAATTAGGATATTTAATTTCGAGAACAATTTAAGTCAACTTTATTTAAGGAAGCTCGGAAATTTAATTCAAAATCTTTAAAGAAGAAAACATAAAACTGGTAACGATGTTTTAGAATCTGACTACGGATACTTCAATGTCCATGGATACACGTGTCATATGAGGTCTTTTAGATGTTAAGAGCTCTTTCCCCGAAAAAAGGTCATATTTGAATAGCCAGACTTTGGGATCTTCTATTAATGAAGAAGTCCTTCGAATGATACAAAAATCAGAGATCTACTTTGTCCGAAGATAAAAGGCCTTCAAGACTTGTAGAAATAGAATAGAAAAACTTCAATAGATCTATGAAATTTTTCTGTCAAAACATCTATTGTCAGTCGGATACCATTAAGAAGTCTTCCTAACAAAGAAGAATTTCATTTGGTTATTTGGTTAACCCCAGATAAGTTGGTCTTCCTATAGAAACCCAATGGATCATCAAAAAAAGATCAGAATGTTTTCCAAATGAAGAATAGAAGGTCCTTATTTAGAAGACCACTCCGTTTTCTCATAGAAGACCAGAAATTCTTCTCATAGAAGAACAGAAGGTCCCCCTCATAGAAGGCGAGAAAGTTTTTTCGTAGAAGGCGAGAAAGTCTTTCGTAGGTCTTTTCATAGAAGACGAGAAGGTTTTCTATAGAAGACGAGAAAAGTACAAAGACCATCTCGACTTCTCAGAAGGTCTTTGTATAGAAGACCAGAAGAAGAAGGTCTTCTTACAGAAGGCCAGGATGTTTTTCCTTGGAATAGTAGAATGACCCTCATAGAAGGCGAGAAGGTCTTTGTATAGAAGACCTGAAGGTCTTCGTATAGAAGAGCAGAAGGTCTTCGTATAGAAGACCAGAAACTCTTTTCATAGAAGACCAGAAACTCTTCTCATAGAAGACCAGAAGATCTTCTCATAGAAGACCAGAAGGTCTTCTCATATAAGACCAGAAGGTCTTCGTATAGAAGAGCAGAAGGTCTTCTCATAGAAGAGCCGAAGGTCTTCTCATAGAAGAGCCGAAGGTCTTCTTATAGAAGAGCCGAAGGTCTTCGCATAGAAGAGCAGAAGGTCTTCGCATAGAAGAGCAGAAGGTCTTCGCATAGAAGAGCAGAAGGTCTTCGCATAGAAAAGCAGAAGGTCTTCGTATAGAAGAGCAGAAGGTCTTCGTATAGAAGAGCAGAAGGTCTTCGTATAGAAGAGCAGAAGGTCTTCGTATAGAAGAGCCGAAGGTCTTCTCATAGAAGAGCCGAAGGTCTTCTCATAGAAGAGCCGAAGGTCTTCGCATAGAAGAGCAGAAGGTCTTCGCATAGAAAAGCAGAATGTCTTCGCATAGAAGAGCAGAAGGTCTTCGCATAGAAAAGCAGAAGGTCTTCGCATAGAAGAGCAGAAGGTCTTCGCATAGAAAAGCAGAAGGTCTTCGTATGGAAGAGCAGAAGGTCTTCGTATAGAAGAGCAGAAGGTCTTCGTATAGAAGAGCAGAAGGTCTTCGTATAGAAGACCAGAAGGTCTTCGTATAGAAGACCAGAAGGTCTTCGTATAGAAGAGCAGAAGGTCTTCGTATAGAAGACCAGAAGGTCTTCGTATAGAAGACCAGAAGGTCTTCTTATAGAAGACCAGAAGGTCTTCGTATAGAAGACCAGAAGGTCTTTGTATAGAAGACCAGAAGGTCTTCGTATAGAAGACCAGAAGGTCTTCGTATAGAAGACCAGAAGGTCTTCGTATAGAAGACCAGAAGGTCTTCGTATAGAAGACCAGAAGGTCTTCGTATAGAAGACCAGAAGGTCTTCGTATAGAAGACCAGAAGGTCTTCGTATAGAAGACCAGAAGGTCTTCGTATAGAAGACCAGAAGGTCTTCGTATAGAAGACCAGAAGGTCTTCGTATAGAAGACCAGAAGGTCTTCGTATAGAAGACCAGAAGGTCTTCGTATAGAAGACCAGAAGGTCTTCGTATAGAAGACCAGAAGGTCTTCGTATAGAAGACCAGAAGGTCTTCGTATAGCAGACCAGAAGGTCTTCGTATAGCAGACCAGAAGGTCTTCGTATAGCAGACCAGAAGGTCTTCGTATAGCAGACCAGAAGGTCTTCGTATAGCAGACCAGAAGGTCTTCGTATAGCAGACCAGAAGGTCTTCGTATAGCAGACCAGAAGGTCTTCGTATAGAAGACCAGAAGGTCTTCGTATAGAAGACCAGAAGGTCTTCGTATAGCAGACCAGAAGGTCTTCGTATAGCAGACCAGAAGGTCTTCGTATAGCAGACCAGAAGGTCTTCGTATAGCAGACCAGAAGGTCTTCGTATAGCAGACCAGAAGGTCTTCGTATAGCAGACCAGAAGGTCTTCGTATATCAGACCAGAAGGTCTTCGTATAGCAGACCAGAAGGTCTTCGTATAGCAGACCAGAAGGTCTTCGTATAGCAGACCAGAAGGTCTTCGTATAGCAGACCAGAAGGTCTTCGTATAGCAGACCAGAAGGTCTTTGTATAGCAGACCAGAAGGTCTTCGTATAAAAGAGCAGAAGGTTTCGTATAGAAGACCAGAAGGTCTTCGTATGGAAGAGCTGAAGGTCTTCGTATAGAAGACCAGAAGGCCTTCTCGTAGAAGAAGACCAGAAGGCCTTCTCGTAGAAGAAGACCAGAAGGTCTTCGTAGAAAAAACCAGAAGGTCTTCTCGGAGAAGAAGACCAGAAGGTCTCACAGAGAAGAAAACCAGAAGGTCTTCTCGGAGAAGCAGACCAGAAGGTCTTCACGGAGAAGAGGTGCGCAAGGATGTCTTTTCATAGATCCTTTTTCTATCAAGAATTTTTATGGTACAAAATTTTTCAAAAAAAAAATATTAAATTTTCCCAATTTTATTGCAAGGTTTTTATTTTCGTTTCGAAGAAAACCTGAAAATTCATTGAACTGAAAATATGCCTGGGAAAATTATTGTTTTTCATATTTTTCTTTCGAAATATATATTTATTTGCATATTCGTTTGCAATATAAGCCCCTCAGATAAAGTGCTGCAATATCACTTTCTATCGCCATCCCCCGCCCGTCTACCGATGATTCTACAAGACCACAGCAACAACAATAATAATAACAACAACATATATCAATATTTTTATTTGTTTTCCTCTTACCGTATTACTTTTCGTCCTCTTTGCAATTCAATTGAAACCAACACCTCTGCGGATGCCATGGGAATTTTGCTGGCCGCGTCGAAAACAATAACAACAACAATGCAGGCTTGTATCTCTACATTCTGGTAGTGAAAACATTCTCCGGGGATAATACACGATTTACGGTGTACGCGACCATTGGCTGGGGTAAGTATGGAATAAATTTCCTCAATTTATGTGCTGATGTGTTGGGAGTTCGCCTCCCCCTCTCTCGTTTTCAGTTGGCATTTCATTGGAAATGACAATACGAAAAATTTGCAATTATGAAATTGACATTTTTAAATAAATATTTAATGGACGGGTCACACACATATACCAACACACAAGAGAAAGATTTGAACAAAAAATGCACACACACAACAGCGTTGACTTAATTATTTCAATTTGTATAATTGGCCAACAAGCCAATGCACCCACACACACACCCACACACTCCCAATAAAAATGAAGAAAAAAGGACAAAAGCAATGTGCAGGCGTGTGTGCTTGCGAAAGTATTGTTTGAGATTTCTTTGTGTGTTGTGTTGTGCCATTGACAGAATTTGCCTGCGGAAACCCAAATCAAACAAACGAAAAAAAAGAAAAAAATTCAAATGATTTTTTTTTTGGTCTTCTACTTAGAAATGTATCTGCATCGGATGTTTGTATCTTGCTCTGTGCTGCTTATTAAATTTTGTTTCCATTTTCTTCCTCTTCCTCTTCTTCTTTTGTTTTGTTTATCCTTTTGCTGTAATGGCTTGTTGTGACCGTTTGGTCATAATCACCAAACCACCATCATTTCGATCATCTGATAGGAGGTCCTGCTGTGTTTGTTGTCATTTGGGCCATTGCCAAAGGCCTGACAATGTCATCTGCCACAAATGACCAGGTGAGTATTAAACTCTTAAAAAATGGGTGAAACATTTGACATTGTGTGGGAAGGGGGTGTGTGTTTCTAGAATTTCCAGGAAATGCCATAGTCAAGTGTGTACACAGTGATTCCAAGCATTTTCGAAGAGTCAAACATAATTATGGGCTGGTTATATGAGAAACATACTTTTATATTGCATTGTTGTGAATTGAGTTGAAAAATAAAATTTTGTTGGATACTAAATTATTTTGGAATTAAAAATACATATCATTGCAATTTTAGGAAATTATTGAAAAAAAATTCGTGAGAATGTTTTTCTGAAAATTGTTTTTGGAAAATTCAAACATGTTAGAAAAAAGTAGGCAAAGCTATAGGCGTGCGGGCCGACCAAGTACAATATGTTGGAAGCCTCTTGTGTCCAAATCCATATTGGAAGATTTTGTTTTTAAAATTATGTCACAGAGCACTGCCCAGATTTTACCCTTAGCTTTTTGACCGGTGGCATTTGCCTAATATTTACGTACTCCGTCGCACAGAGTGTCGAAATTGCAAAAACGGAGATTAATTGGAAAAACTAAATTCGTATTTTGAAATAGTTGTTTTGATAATATTATTGAACACAAAATTCTACTTCAGTACTGAGAATTTGAAAGTCATACGTTGTTTAGAGAAATGTTTCACTTTTTCGGAGGAAGATGGAAAAAATTGTTTTTGGTTTTTTGAAGTGTAAAAAGTGATAATTTTAAAATTGGAACATCAAATACATGTGGTTATCAATGTTGAAGAATAAAAAAGTTTTAAAAATTGTGATGTAAAAATATTTTAAAAACTAATTCAAAATATGACCATATTTTCGCCATATTTAAAATGTATATGGAGTTACAAAAAATAAAATAAAATAAATAAATAAAATAAAATAATAAATAAATAAAAAATAAAATAAAAAAATAATAATAATATCGAGAAGGTCCTAAAATTTTAATTTTGTATTTTAGTATGGAATGCCATTCTTCATAATCAAAAAAAAAAAAAAAAAAAAAAAAACGCGGGCCATTTTTTGCCGTTTTTGTTTTATTTTAAAAAAATTGAAAAATAGTCAACTGATTTTGGGGTGAATGTACATTGATCTTGTTCTCTATTTTGTTCGTTTTTTGTGTTTGCTGTTACTTTTAAATTCGTTTCTCTTGTGTTTTTATCATAAACTTTTTAAAAATTATACAGTCTCTTTAAAAATCGGTGCTAAGGTAACTTGCCTCAACTTCAATTTTGTCTGATGATCCAATTTAGGACAATGAGAGACGTTTAAAGAAGGAACATAAAAATGTTGACTTTTTAAAAATAACTTAAATCTTTTTTAATATATTGATAAGGATTTATTATCTTTCTCAAATAGGAAGGCTTAATTACCAACCAATTTTTTATATATTATTTTATTATTACTTCTTTTTTTAAAAGAATATAATTTTTTCTGTTCATATTTAAGAAGTTTTTTTTTTCAAAGGATAATTTTTTTTTGCTGAACCCCAATTTTGATTTTTTTGCTTATTAAGGTAAGAAATTAAAAAAAAAAACAAGGAAAAAAGCTGTAAAATCGGCCGGGCCGAACTTTGAATACCCTCCACAATTTGGAACGAATTTGGCAATTTTCAAAAAAATAAAATCAATCAAAAATTCTCTTAAAATCTTAAAAATACCGAATGTAGTCGTTATATTGGGGTCTATACGACGACGTGGACCTGAATAGGCAACTTTTGTTATAAGTCATTAAAATATTCGAATGCGAAGCTTGAACAAAAAAATTGGTGAATAATGTTGCGAAAATCATTAAAATACCGAATATCAGGAGGAACCGTTATATGAGTGCTATACAAATGCGTTTACCTGCACTGATAATTCATCAAAATACTGAAAATAGGGAGGTACCATTATATGGGGGCTATACCAAAACGTGGACCTACTTTCAATACCAAAAGATCTGCAGACATAATATTTTATGAACCTACTTCATTTCGTTCTTAAACTAGGGTGAGTTCCACAGACGGACGGACATCGCTAAATCGACATAGAATTTTATGCTGACCAAGAATGTATGTACTTTGTAGGGTCTAAAATGCATATTTCTAGGTGTTACAAACGGAATGACAAACTTACTATACCTACCATACTATGGTGGAGGGTATAAAAAACATATGAATTGGAGCAACGAAAAGCTTCCTTTAAATTTATCTCTGAACTTATTCCCTGCAGAAACCTATGTTATAGGTAATTTTATATTGACTATTTTTTAGTTTTTGTCTAGGTTCTACAAATACATAAAATATGGTCTATACATAATGGTGGATTTATCTTCACAATATTTAGCAGGGAGAGATTTTGTCAGCTCAGAACTCAAAATGTCAAGTTACTTATAATTTGGTTTAAAATAGTGGCCGAAACCTTCAAAATACCGAAAAATAGGAAATACAGTCTAAAACAAATATAGGAGCAATCTTGAAAAGTTTTACTGTGTAGAGATTATACCCACTCGGAACTCTAAACGCCAAGTTATACATGATTTGGTTTAAAATTGTAGTGAAAACATTAAAAATACCGAAAATCGGGATGTAACGCTATATGGTGACCTTATCGAAATCTTCAATTTTTTGATTCCAAACATACTAGGGGTAATATAAATGTCTGAGCAAACATTTCACAGCGATAGAATGCCTCCCTGAATTAATCTCCGTTTTTTGGGATCTCATCTCACTGTACGTCGTGATGTTAGATATTCAAAATAATTTTACACGAAAGATGGGGTCCATTTTACAGCTTAATATAATCCAATAGTCAGCAAAAATGCCAGACTTCTTCCCAGTCCCTAACTCTTTTCTCATGCAATTTCCATGACGACTGGTTTTCAATTGTGACCTGCAAAGCGACTGCAAAGTCCGAAAAATTTTATTTTTTGGTCCATTTGAACCTCTAAATTAACATCTTCAAAACAAAAGGCTTTAATTCTGACCCTTACCCTACCCCCATGCAAAATTTCGTGAGGATCAGACGAAAATTATATATAATACCCTCGACACATGGTGTTGCGAGGTGTAGAAAAACTTTAGAAAATTTATAATTCAAAATTGTAAGTCAAATAGAAAAAACTTTTTCTTTTGCATATGCAGGGTGAGATAAAAAAACTGCAATAAATTCAATCGCCATAATTTTTACATTTTTTTTAAATTTATTGAATAAAAGCAAAAAATATCGGAAAAAGCATTAAATTTTAGAACAAGTTTAGATTTGATTGAAAAAGTCGCCTTTGGCACGAATTTGAAACGCCAAACGCACGAATGAAACCGTCACACGCTGCCCGTATGTTGCTCTACTGTATTTTGACCCGTATCCGGCCAAGCGCTTGTTTGAGGTAATCGACACTTTGGTATTTTTAAGTGCCAACCTTGCTTTCCAACATATTCCAGACACAATAGTCCAACTGATTGGTATCCGGAGATTTTGGTAGCCATTGTGCGCTGGAAATGAAGCGAGGAACCTCTTTTTGTAACCATTCTTGAGTGGAGCGTGGTGAGTGTGATCCAAGGTTTGCGGCTAAAATGTTTGTGTGCTCAAGACTTTAATTCACCCTCCAGAATATTTTGGCGCTAATATTCGTCATTTATTCTGAGTTCTGGTGGTCAACCGAAGGTGCACATTTTAAGCTGACATCTTTGGCAAGTAAACACGACCATTTTGTTTGTCTACAAACTGCTGGGCAACGAATGTTTCCTCATCGGAGAAACCCGAATTCGGCAGATCACCACTTTTGGCCAAGCGAAGCAACTCTTAGCTCTTTTGAGTCTATTTTTTTCTCTTCCACAAAGGGTGAATATTTTGAATATTCATGAAGCTCATAAAACGCGATATTAAAATCCGATTCCATTCGGAATTGGCACATCCCATTATTTCTAATAATACAAAAGTAGCTGCGAAGATGGGATACATCGGTAAACTCCTTCTGGAACCTTCCCCACAAAGGGTCAAAATTTTGAATATCAATGAAGCTCATAAAAGCGAAATCAACATCCGATTCCATTCCAGACTTGGTACATCTCAATATTTCCATCAACACAAGATCTGTTATAAAGATGATAGAGATCAGATCATTTTTTCTGGTACCTCCTCCTCATAGGGTTGAAGATTTGAAAAACGAAACGCTCAAAGAAATATTGAGATGTGTGAATTTTGAAAATAATCGGACGCTCCTTGCCTTTCTTAGGGCGCTTTGTTATTAAAAATTTTATCCCTCTGTGGGGGAGCTAGAAGAAGGAGTAAATTCATACATTTGATCATTACCCCAGATCTTGTGTTGGGAGACATAAAGGGAATTCGAACCGGATGCTAATTTCAGATTTTATGCTAGTTTTGGTTATTCAAAATTTTGTGGGGCGGTATCGGAAGGAATGGTCCAATCTCTACCATCTTTATAACGGATCTTGTATTGATAGAAATAGTGAGATGTGCCAAGTCTAAATGGAATCCGATGTTAGTTTCGCGTTTCATGAGCTTCATGGATTATTTAAATTTTGATCCCTTTGTGGGGGTGGTACCAGAAGAAGTTTACCGATATATTCCATCTTTACACCAGTCTTGGATTAATAAAAATATTGTAATATATGTTATTTGAAGACAATCGAACTCTTAAATCACATTTTATAAGAGTTATAATTATTCAAAATTTTGGCCATTTGTTTGGGAAGTTTTTGATGGAGTGGACCGATTTTCAGACAAGACCTAGCGCTGATGCACATTTTAGGGTTTGCAAAGTTTCAGCAAAATCGGATTATACTTTCTCTTTCTGTGCTGTAAATAAATTTCTTTTAGAATGTTAACATTTTGTGGGGGAGGTACGAACTCCGAACTCGTTCTAAGTATGATAATAATATTACGATGTACCAAGTGTGGACTGAATCGGATACTCCGTTCGAGAGTTATCGTGCGAACCAGCCAGACAGACAGACGAACGGAGGGACATTGCTAGATAGACTCCAAGTGTCCTGAAACGATTTTGGTCCAAAGAGACCTAAGCTCTAAAACCGTTATTTCGATAAGGCACTTTATTTGCCATATCAAATTATATATACCCTCTCTAGCCATATGGCTAAGGGTATAATAACCATCTGAAAATCAAAATCTTCATAACTGAAACCTAACTTTAAAAGCTATTTTTCAGATCAACAAAAATTATTGCTAGTGATATTACAGCGTCATAGTAATTTAATTTAACCTCCATTTATGGAAGAGAGTAAAATAACCTCCAACATGACATTCAAACATTTCAATACTGAAACAAAGGCGGACCATTATTAAAATAAATGGTCATTAGAACGAAAACAAAACAAACCGAAAAGAGGATGAGGAAAGTTGGGTCCTCTTTATTATCGCATCATAAATAAAACACTTCCGGTTAATCAGAGATTAATTTTTCACATCGGTGACTGGAGCGGAAAGAAAAGGGATAACTACGTTTGGAATCACTGTTATGCCTGGGAGACCTCCTAATGTTTTTGATGGGAGGATAGACGATGATAAAAGGAAACCCCGAACTGAGTTTGTTTTCCACACCAAATTCGTAGCATATTTGCCTTTGGGCTAACAAATAATTTGTTTGTTATTGTTTTGTCTCGCATTTTCTCTCTCTCCCTCTATCACTCTCTTCTCTACCTTTACAGATCGAAATCGAAGGCTGCCCCTGGATGCAGGAGACCAATGTCGATTGGATATTCCAGGGACCGGTGTGTGCGGTTTTAATAATTAATTTAATATTTCTGCTGCGAATAATGTGGGTAAGTTGTGACAACAAAAGCCATTTTGGACCAGGAGAAACAACAGCAGACCGCAATTTAAAAATTAAAAACAAAAAACTCTTCTCTTTTCTCCTACCTCTCTCCTCCCACATTCTTTGGTTTCTTTTGTTTTTTTGCCTAGGTGTTGATAACCAAACTTCGCTCGGCCAATACCCTGGAAACACGCCAATACCGCAAAGCTGCCAAGGCACTGCTGGTTCTAATACCCCTGTTTGGCATTACCTATTTGGTGGTACTGGCCGGACCCTCGGAGGGTGGGGTCATGAGTCACATGTTTGCCATTGTCAGGGCCGTGCTGTTAAGCACTCAGGTAAGTTGTGGTGGTGATGGTCACCGGCAGCAGCAGCGGTTAACCTTAAAATTGTTTTGGTTGGGAAAATTAATTAAAATCTATTTTCTTTTATTTTCTCGGCTCTGCCCTGCTCTGCTCTGCCAACCAAAAACGAAAACAAAAACAACACCAACATAAATAATGGTTTAGGGGTTTTCGGTTTCGCTGTTCTATTGTTTCCTCAATTCGGAAGTTCGCAATGCTCTGCGGCATCACATCTCCACATGGCAGGATGAACGCAACATACGCCTGAACCAGTCCAGAAGGTAGGTTGTTTTGTTGTCCCCCGTTAACCCCACCGTAAAGAGCGTGTACAGCCAACCACTTCCTCACTTATCTGTTTGTTGTTGTAGTTTGTCTAAGGCACTTTTATAAGCTTACCAACCATCCATCCTCCTCTCCTTACTCACTCTGTAGGTATGTTTCCAAAGGCTTTTCCAAAGATACTTCACCGCGTACCGAGTGCACCAGGTATGATTTATAGGATTAAGCCTACTACTAACTCTCACTCACTCCTCCTCTCTCAGACTGTGGTAATTGTTTGCAATTCTTTGATGCTTTAATTTCGTATTGGCCTCGATATTGATTTTCCCAAAAAAACTGGTTTCTTTTTTGCTTTTTAAATTCGCCATCCATTTGCAGGCCGCTGACAGCCTACTATGGCAAGGGTAAACGGGAGTCGTGTGTTTCGTCGACCACGACCACTACAATAATTGGTCAACATCATTCAATGTCGCTGCAACGGGGAATGGGTGGATGTGGCAGCAGTGCGGGTGCCGGTGGTTGTGGCCCAGGAGGTGCTGGTGGAGCAGGAGGTTCCAATGGGGCTTTGCATATGATGCCAACAGCCACCACATTAACGCTGATGCCCAGGGCTGTGAGTCCTTTGATGAAGGTAATTTTTATTTGCTCTCTCAGGAAGAATGAAGAAAAATAGTGAATGATATGTCCAGAGGAAAGAAAAGAGGGGGGCGGAGGGGGGTGGAGTAGAATACGGGATATCTGCAAAAGTAATATCTCAAAGGATACAAAAGGAAGAGATAATAAAATCCACATCATTTTCAATGTCAGTAGAGGGATAGTTTGAAATATTTTGATTTAAATATTTAAGCAGATGAATTTGAGATTTATTGAAGGCAAACATGGAATTAAGAGACCTCCAGGACGTAAACTGTGTGGAGAAGTCCTCCACGTGGCATGGTATTTAGAGGAGACTTATTAAAGGTTTAATATATGTTTAAATTCCATAAAAAGTCCAATGAATGTTCTTCTCTGTGTGAAAGATCTCCTGAATTTATTCTGCGTGTAGAAACGATCTAGAGGCCACACAGGTACATTAAATAAATATGGAAAAGACCTGCAGAGGTAGATTATTAGGACTATTATTATTAGGACTATCAGAGCCTTAAGACGTAGATTTTAAAAATTTTGTTTTAGGGAGGATTTTTTAGAATAATTTTTCAAGGACTATCTAGGACTAACGAGGATTTTTAACAACATTTTTAAAGGATATCAGACCCATGAAACGTGGATTTTTAAGAATTTTTTTCCAAGGACTATAAGGGGCCTAACATATACATTTTTAGGAATATTTTTTCAAGGACTATAATAGAAATAATAAAATAATAATTTTTTCAAAAATATATTAAATTTTTTGGGAATTGTTTTTCGTGGATTAAAAAAAAAAAACATTTTCAAAGACATTAGACCCATAAAACGTCAATTTGTAAGAATATTTCTGCAAGGGCTGTCAGAGTCTTCAATCTTGAATTTTCAAGAGAACTTTTTTCATGGATTATTAGAGCCATAATATCAATGTTTTTAAAAAACTTGAAGATTCGTTAAACTCGGATTTTTAATTATTTTTTTTATCAGAACCATGAAAGATGGATTTTTAAGAATATATTTTTTGCAACGACTGTAAGAAGCCTAAGATATAAATAGATATAAAAAGTACTTTTTACAAGAATTTATTTTTAAGGACTATGAGAGGTATAAGATGTTTGGGAATTTTTTTTTTCAAAGGACTATAGGAGCCATAATACGTGAATTTTTAAGAACAAACGCGAATTTATCACAATTTTCAAGGACATTAGACCCATAAAACTTGAATTTGTCAGAATATTTACAAATGACTATCAGAGTCATCAATCTTGGATTTTTTAAGAGAACTTTTTCATGGATTATTATAGTCATAATAACAATGTTTTTCAAGGACTTGAAGAATTGTTAAACTCGGATATTTAATAATTTTTTTTATCAGAACCTTCATGGTTCATGGTTTTAACGATGTGGTTTTTTAAATAATTTTTTTTGAAGGATATGTAATTTAAATACTTTTTTTTTGGGACACAGTTTTTTAAAAACCGTGGATTTTAAAGATTTTTTTTGAAGGAAATTTGATTTTTAAGGACATGGAATTTTCAAATGTCGTTGGTTTTTAAAGAATTGTTTTCCAAGGATGTAGACTTTTCAAAAAACATTTTAAAGGGTTTTTTGACAACTTTTTGTAAAATGTGGATTTTTTAAAGGATAGTTTTTAAGGACGTGGAGTTTTTAAAGAATAGTTTTTTAAGGACGTGGATTTTTTAAGGATAGTTTTTTAAGGACATGGGTTTTTTAAAGTATAGTTTTTTAAGGACATGGTTTTTTTAAGGACGTGGATATTTTAAAGGATTCTTTTTGAGGAGCTGGATTTTTTTAAGTATAATTTTTTAGGGAAATTGATTTTTTAAAGGATTAATTTTTAAGGACGTGGATTTTTTAAGGAAGTGATTTTTGTAAGGAATTATTTTTTAAGGACATGGATTTTTTTAAAGGATTATTTTAAGGACGTGGATTTTTTAAGGATTAATTTTTAGGTACGTGGATTTTTTAAAGCATAATTTTGTAAGGATTTTTTTAAGGACGTGGATTTTTTAAAGCATAATTTTTAAAGGACATGAATTGTTTTAGAGGAAAATTTTTTAAGGATTATTTTTAAGGACGTAGTTTTTTTAAAGGATATTTTCTTTAATGATTATGTACGTGGATAAGGACGTGAACTTAAAGGATAATTTTTAAGGAGGTGGATTTTTTAAGGATAATTTTTTTAAGGATTATATTTTAAGAAAGTGGATTTTTTAAAGGATATTTTTTTAAGGACGTGGATTTTTTGAACGATAATTTTTTAGAAACGTGGTTTTTTTTAAAGAATTATTATTTAAGGACGAGGATTGTTTTTAAAGGATAATTTTTAAGGACGTGGATTTTTTACAGGATAATTTTTAAGGATGTGTATTTTTTACAGAATTATCTTTTAAGGACGTGGATTTTTTTAAAGGATAATTATTTAAGGACGTGTTTTTTAAAGGATTATTTTTTAAGGACATTGATTTTTTAAAGGATAACGTGGATTTTTTAAAGGTTTTTTTTTAAGGATTTTTTAAAGGATATTTTTTTAAAAACGTGGATTTTTTTAAAGAATAATTTTTAAGGATTATCTTTAAAGGAGGTGAATTTTTTAAACGATAATTATTTAAGGACGTGTTTTTTTAAAGGATTATTTTTAAGGACATCGATTTTTTTAAAGGATTATTTTTTAAGGACATCTATATTTTTTTGAAGGATTACGGTTTTTTTTTAAAGGATTATCTTTTAAGTACGTAGATTTATTTAAAGGATAATTTTTTAAGAATTTTTTTAAGGATTATTTTTTAAAGGATATGTTCTTAAAAATTATTTTTTAAAGTATATTTTTTTAAGGATTATTTTTAAAGGATAACTTTTGAAGGATTATTTTTTTAAAGGATGTTTTTAAGGGTTATTTTTAATGTATAATTTTTTAAAGCTTAATATTTAAGGATTATTTTTTAACGGATAACTTTTTAAGGATTATTTGTTAAAGGATATTTTTAAGGGTTATTTTTTAAAGTATAATTTAAAGAATAAAATAAAAGATTCAATTTTTTAACTATTTTCTCCGCGTTCTCGATTTTGTGAATATACTTGTTATTTAATTTTGAGTAATGCAAATTTTTGATTTTTTTACTTTTTTAAAAAATGTGAATTTTTTAAAAACATGTTTTACATTTTCAAAACGTGGATTTTTTAAAAATATTTTCTTTACATTTCAAGGTCGTGGACTTTGAAAAATATATTTTGTTTAATATTTCAAGGACGGGGATTTTTGAAAATATTTTTTTTACATTTTAAGAACGCGGATTTTAATTAAAAATACATTTAAAAACAATTACATGTTCAAGGACGCGGAATTTATAAAAATATATAATTTTTACATTTTTAAGGATGTACACTATTCAAAAATATATTTTTTTGTTTTTTTAAAGACTTGGATTTTAAAATATACCTTTTTACAACGGCATGGATTGTTTTTTAATTTAATTTTATTTTTTGTTTTATTTGTGTTTAATGTTTTTTTTAAAGAATTGTTCTTTTAATTTTCCATGAAGTAGTTTTTTATAAGTTATATTTTTTTAATTTACAAGGACAAATAGTATCGAGGACTTAAGAAAAAAATATTTTTTTAATTTTGTTGTTGCAAAAATCTTCAGGCTTAATCCCATTATTGTTGTTTTTATAAAACAACATTTGTTTATTAGTAGAGAACGATGGTAATGTTTACCAGGGGGTAAGGCAGGGAATACCTAGGTTTCAGAAAGTGCCACCAATCCTCATCAGTTCCCTTGTTTTTTGTCTGGGATATTCTCTCCAGAAGTTATTTAAAATAACTCCTATGATGAAAAACTTTTTTACCCAAGTGACGAGATCATAAGCTCAATAGAAGAGGAACCAAAGAATTATATAAAACTAAAATTCTTTTGGAAAATCTTCTAAATCTTACAACAAATATTTTTTAAGAATCCGTAGTGACACGGATTTTTTAAAACATATATTTAAAGGTCATTCCAATTGGGTTATAATATTCCTCTATCGGAAAATTATATTTTTCTTACTTTATATATAGTTGTATATTAAAATTTAATATTCGGAAATTCGAAAAACGAGTAAACTAAAATTTTTCTTTACACAGTTGTCATTTTGCTCTTTCCAGGATCTGGAAGAAAATTCGGTGTAAATTATTTTGTATACACAATAAAAAAACACATACATAATAGCTGAAGGCGGATGTACCTGATGTTGTTGCATCATCATCATTATACTCACCAAAACAAACCCTCCAAACAAGAAAACCTATTTTTTGTCGAAAGAAACCCAAAAAATAAAAAAAAAAAATACAAACTGTTAAATAGCAATACCTAACCTTGAAAAATATTTTTGTGGTTGGGACGATGAAAAAGTAAAGCAACCGAGAAGCAAACTCAAACCACTCTCAAAAAAGAAAAACAAAACATGAAAGGTATAGACCAACAAAAAAATGTTTATAAATATAAGCTTAATGTAAATATATTATAATCTAGATTTACACACACACATACATACAGATATTTGTAGAACAATAACGTTTAATTTGTTTTTGTTTTTGAAAATCCAAAGTAGAATCAAATTCGCAAGGCACTTTGTACAAAGTTTATAAATGCACCAAATTAAAACGAAATAATAGAAGAAGAAGAAGAAGAAGAAGAAAAGGATACGACAACATCAGCAACAAAAAACAACAAAAACAATATTTTAACAACGTAAATTTTAATTCCCCAAATCAGATGATGTAGTTGGAAACCATGTTCTTTTTTTGTGGAATTGTGAATAAGTTTTAGTTCCGAGTCTTCCTTTCTTTTTTACGAGAAATAAAAAGAAAACAGAAACATTTCCTGAGGCCATGCAAAATCTTGTTTAATTCTTGTACATATTTTGCTGAGCAAAATACAGTGGGATATTGCCGATGACGAGCCTTCATTCAGCTAATAATGAAAGCTTTTATTTTCATTATTAGTACGTCGTGCGACAATATTCAATTTTTTCTATATTTCTATATAAAATCCAGCGGATTATGAAAGTAGAGCTTAGAAAAAGAACACACGGCTTATCGGCCTTTTGAAAGTTCACATCGCAAAGTAACCTAAATTGAGGTGGCAAGTTCAACCCTCCTCCACACTTTTGGAAATTTTCAGATTAAGATTCCTCGGAATCCGTTCGTTTTAGGTACATAGTGTCTTCAGCAATTTAGCAGATAAAAATACGAGGAATATTTTGGTAGAAAACATTAACCCTCAAGCGAGTCAATAAATGCGACTTTTTGGTTCTTTTTTGAAAATATTGTTAAAAAGTCATTTCTCGAAATCCATGCATTTTAGGTGTATAGTGTCTTCAGCAATGTTGCAGATAAAAATATGAGGAATATTTTCTTGGACAATTTTAATCCTCAATCGAGCCAACAAATGGATCTTTTTAGTCCTTTTTTGAAAATATGGCATAAATCTCCATTTAAACGGGATCATGGCAAGTCAAAATATTCTACAAAATTATTCGCCATAAAATTCCACTATGGGTTCTAGAAGACGTTAAGTGTCTAAATCTTCTCTAAATAAAAAATTGAAATATATAAAAAAAATGTAAGAGTCAACACCGTACTTGATGGGAGTTAATGCAAAAATCTCCAATAAAGCATAGCCGTGGAAGGATGATGTCAAAGACAAAAATATTCTTCAGCAAATTTTACTATAAGTCTCCAAAGGAAAGAAATCTCTATTTCAACTTCATATAATAAATATTGGCATCCAAAAAAAAAAAAAAAAAAAAAAAAAGAAACAAAAAAAAACTTCCAAATTTTTTTGATTAATTTTTTTTTGGAAGTTTTTCGAGTTGAAGGCTATTTTTTAATAGAAAAAAATTTTCCTTAAAAATTTTAATTTTTCAAATTTTGCTACAAATTTGTATTACAATTTCACTCTTCAATAGACTGTCTAAGTTGTGGAATATGCCAAACTATAGGCCTCCCTTTGTATATGCTCAAAACTATATAAGGGCCTTAACAACGTTTGTGCTAAGAACTCTGAACTTTTTTTGCGGTTTGATCTAAAAATGACTTGGAATTCTTCACAACCCAGACTGAAAGTAAAATTGCACCACGTTGGGAAAAATAATAAATTTTTCAAAAAAAAAGAAAAAATAGTAATTAATAAATAAATAAATAATAATAATAATAATAATAATAATAATAATAATAATAACAATAATAATAATAATAATAATAATAATAATAATAATAATAATAATAATAATAATAATAATAATAATAATAATAATAATAATAATAATAATAATAATAATAATAATAATAATAATAATAATAATAATAATAATAATAATAATAATAACAATAATAACAATAATAACAATAATAACAATAATAATAATAATAATAATAATAATAATAATAATAATAATAATAATAATAATAATAATAATAATAATAATAATAATAATAATAATAATAATAATAATAATAATAATAATAATAATAATAATAATAATAATAATAATAATAATAATAATAATAATAATAAAAAATAAAAAAACAATTAAATTGATAGTATTTTTTTCTTTGTTACATATTGAATATCCAAATTTCTTCTGTTCAGACACTCGCAATGAAATTTAATCTAGAATAATTTCTCATTTAATACTTTCTCCAAAAAAGTGAAATATATAGGGAGATTTGGTTTTGGATTCAAAACATGCTGAATTAAAAGTAAAAAAAGGTAAACACGTAATTTTCCCTTTTGGTGCCTAAACTTCAAATGTAATTTTCATCAAAACTATTGTATCTAGATATGTGGTTTATTTTAAATCTTATAATAAAATTTTATTTAGAATATTTCTTCTGTTGGCATTTTATGTTACTTTCAGGCCTCAACTCGAAAAAGTCGAAGGGAAAATTGATCAAAAAAAAAAAAAAAAAAAAAAAATTTCGGTTTTTTTTTTCAAATATTTTTTTTTGATATAAAAGTGAAATTAGAGAATTCTTTTCTTTGGTGACTCATAGTGAAATTTAGTTAAGAATATTTTTGTCTTTGACGTAATTTTTCTCAAATTATGCTTTATTCGAGATTTTTGCATAAACTTAACCAAAGTACGGCTTTAAGCCTAAAATGAGTTTAAATGTTTAATAAATATGAATTCCTGGCGTTTTGTTAAGAATTACACCTTTGATGTCTTCTAGAACCTACAGTAGAATTTTATGACAAATAATTTTGTAGACTACTTTGACTTTCTACGATCCCGTTTAAAGGGAGATTTTAGCCATATTATAAAAAAGGACCGAAAAGACCACTTTTTCGGCTCGCTTGAGGGACACAATTTTCTATGAAAATAATCCTCGAGTTTTTATCTGCAATTTTCCTAAAGACGCTATATACCCACAATTAGCGGATTCCAAGGAATCTTAAGAATTACAAATTAAAAACATGTAAAAAAACTTTATATTCGGCCGGGTCGAATTTTTAATACCCTCTACCAGTGGGTAAAGAAAACATTGTCAATTTAAAGGTACCTAAATTAAAACGTGTTCCACTTTAAACTACAAATATCAGTAAGACCGTTTGGATAATGCTGTTAAACTTATCAAAAAACCATAAAGTGGGTGAGACCGTTATATGGGGGCCATACCAAAACGGGAACCCCTATAGGCAATTTTATGCTTCCAGGAATGCCATCTACCAAAACTTAAATGCAAATTTGAAACAATTTCGTTGGTGAATGTAACTAGGATTATGAAAATACCGAACATCGAGGGAATCGTTATATGTGCGCTATAGGAAAACGAGGATCTAAATATTCAATGCTCTGCCATTGGAGCTAGAACCCATTAAAAACAACAAGCTCCATTTTTTAGATAGAATCGTCGAAAAATGTGGAAAAAACATCAAAATACCGAATATCGGGAGGTATCGTTATATGGGGGCTATACGAAAACGTGGACCAATATACACAGTGTTTCGCCACCGGAACTAGAATCCATCCATCAATCTACAAATGCCAATTTTTAGACAAATTAGTTTAAGAATTTGGACCTATACATACAATATTTCGCCACCGGACCTTGAACCCATTACGACTCACAAATGCTAAGTTATAGATGAATCCGTGGACAAATGTGTCAAAAATCATTAAAATACCGAATATCGGGAGGTATCGTTATATGGAGGCTATACCAAAACATGGACCGAAATATCTCATTTTCAATACCAACCAGACGGAATGACAAAGTTAATATACCCTTCTCTTCAAGGTGGAGGGTATTAAAATATGTGTGAAAAGAGGGAAATTTGCCCCTACCTACTTTGCGATGTAAACTTACAATACGCCGGCATACGATCCGGTTTTGTTGAGGGATTTTAAACATTTATTTATTTATTTTTTTGAGAAAAAACTTGTTTGTCTTGATTGGTTCCTTTTTAAGCGTGTTCCACTGTCTCACAGTTCCTAGATAACGATGCCAGCAACTTTCTTCCCACAGACCACAACCACACAAACAACAATAGGAAATGTTTAAACTAAGCAATTTGTAACACTTTAAAGTTTTGAAGTATTTCCTTTCTTCAGTTTTCCGCCTTTGTGTTTTGTAATTTTTTTTTAAAGAAGAAAAAAAAACTTTTTCTTTTTTGTAAAACAAATATTTAATTGAAATGTAATTTAAAAAAAAAATAAAAAACTAAGTTTTTGTAAATAATTTTTATTTGCCAAAGCAACAAGAGCGAAAAACGAAAATCTAATATATATACATTGTATTTCAATATTTTTGTATAACTGTATTCTAATCCTGTAGCAGTTACTCAATGTATGTGTTATATGCATATGTACATGTACATGTGTGCGCGTGTCTAAGAATGTACAGAACCGAACGAAGGAGAGAGATTTTGAAACTATGAAAAAAAATTTAATAAATTATTTTATTATACAAAATTTCTATTTGTAATGATGTGGGAATACAATTTGACTGCAATATTTGTAGAAATAAATAAAATTTGCTGAATTGCGAAGAAAAACAATTTTGAAATCGTAATAAAATATATAACAGAGAACTCAAATATCAAAAACAGCTAAGAGAAGAAGAAGAAAATGAAGCAAAAATAAATGTTCAAAATCAAAACGAAATTCTATCTCTGGCGTTAAATTGTTTTTATGGAAATGATGTGCGGGCTGATGGATGATGGGTAAGTAGGTGGGGGGGGGGGGGGTGTTGGTTTAATATATATTGCATGAGAATATTGTCTATGAATACTCAAGTTATGTCATTAATATTAATTACTTGTTGATATTAACAAAATTGCGTTTTGTAATTTTCCTCTGCAAAAGAAAGCAGAAAACATTATGTCTGCAATCGGTAAGGGTAAATATAAATATAAAATAAGGTTTATTTTTCGGAAATTCTTAACACGGCTAAAACAAGCAAGACAAGGATTTAAACATATTAACATGTATTTCTTACAAAAAATTGGTCGGTGACCGTATTAATGAATATAAATCATTCTATAATAGCGTTGGACAAATACAGGCATGGGTGCTCTCAGATAAGTTATGTAATCATATTGAAAATTTAGATAACATTTCATATTGAATCTCCGAACAAAAGAATAAATAATGCACCGCGAAAAATATCATATTTTTTTAAAACCTTTTTTCTTTTTATACCCTCCATCATAGTATGGAGGGTATTTTAAGTATGTCATTCTCGAAATATTTATTTTAGACCCCACAAAGTATATATACTCTTGATCGGCAGAAAATTCTAAGTCGATTTAGCAATGTCCGCCCGTCTATCCGTCTCTGGAAATCACTCTAGCTTCCGAACGAAATGAAGTAGATTGATAAAAGTTTACTCAAATGTATGTTATGTCTGCAGGACTTTTGGCATTGAAAATGGGCCATGTAGGTTCACGTTTTGGTATAGCCCCCATAAAACGGTACCTCCCGATATTCGGTATATTGATTTTATCGGCATTATAACCTATTTTTTTTTAAGTTTCGCATTTGAATATTGTAATGGCTTATGACAAATGTTACCTACGCAGGTTCATGTCGTCGTATAGACCCTAATATAACAGCCACATTCGGTATTTTTAAGATTTTAACAGAATTTTTAAGGGATTTTATTGTTTTTGAGAATTAGCAAATTCGTTCCAAATGGTGAAGGGTATTCAAAGTTCGACCCGGCCGATAATTTGGAAATGATATTAAATTTTCATAATTCGCTACAAATTCTCAAATACAAATTCTCAAATTCTCTTATAATTTCACTGTCCAATAGCCAGTTTGGATTGTAGAAAATCCCAAGTGAACTTGAAAATATCTCTATCCACAACTTGATATAGCTCCCATAGAACCTTACCCCCGATTTTACTTTTTGGAAGGGTTTTAAAAATTATGGTCAAAAATTTAAAATTCCGAACAAATATGAGGTTCAGTAACATGAGACCTGTACCAAATAGTGGAGCACACACAGAACTCTAAATGTTAAGATGCATATATGTCCCATGGACGAGGCTCGTATATAAGTTTGTGCAAAAGTAATCCTAGTATAAGTAAAGTAATCAGTATATTTTACGATTGGCCCCTAATGCCAAAAAACATCGGAATATCTCTTAAGTAAATATGCATGTACAGGGTTGCGCAAAAGTAAACTTCGGTTATTTTTTTTGGCCCTAATTAAGACATTAGGAGCCGAGCGTAAAATTTATAGCATTTTCTGATAGGAATATT